GGGTTTGGTCCCTGTGTTGAATCAAGCGGAGTTTTTCCATTTACTTTATCTTGTAGAGTGGCTCGGGGGATGGCATACATACGAGCGGCCGCCCTAACAGAAATGTTACCCGCCCGAATCCTCTCTAGAGCAAGTTGAATATTCTCTTTCGTGTAAGTTTTGTACTTTCTTGCTGCAAAGAATCCTGGCATAATGATCTGTAGGGATTTAAAAAATAATGTTTTAATAAGTTGTATATATTAATATGTAATAAGTATTTAATATTATAAATTTTATAAAAAAAAAAAAAAAACAGTGTCACATAGAATACCGTATGATATATCAAAAGACAGAAAAATTAAAGTTATACTCACATGAGTCCAAGAATGAACGTAAATAGTATGTTTGAAAAAAATACATACTTCAATCTATTGACTTCTGTTAGAAATTCGAAAAAAGTTATAAAAATAAACCATCAAAGTTAATAAAAATGCTTGCTGTATGATTGTCCGATTCTAGCTGCAATTCCTTTAACGGCCATGTTGCCACTCAGTTGTATTTTTTTATATTTTTGAATGGTAAAGTATATATATATATTTTTAACATTGTTATTCAATTTTAAATAAATTCGATTTAAAAACTAAAAAAAAAACCCGGTAGTCATGTTATTAGTGGTAAATAAATTTTATTTTCTTTCAACATAATTATAACTTTAGTATTGTTATTCATTTTCAAATAAAGTTTTAAAACTAAACTCAAATTAAAAAATATGATTTTATATTTACACGTACTGATTTCACAAATCGGCAGTAATGTAGTTGATAGAGTGGAGATAGTACTCTCTATATATATGATTATATATCGTAGATAAACCTATAAGAAAAGTAAAGACACTGGTTTGTGGGTAAGTGTAGGCCTATTATACAGTATGCCATTCACATTCAAATGTAACTGTTAATATTATATTAATTGAAATAGCCTCGACTTCAGAGTAACATACTGATTAACACGGCAACTGGTAGTAGCTCGGGTCCCAAGTTGTAGCTTCAGTTCACAGTTGAGTTAATCTAGAATAAAAAAAAAACGAATTAAAAAAAGAGCAATACTTAATAATCATAAGTAACTTACCAATATGTATATGATTAATGCGTAGGCCTATATTAGTGAAAAATGCATTAAAATAATGTTCCACTCAAAAAAAAAAAGAAGAGAAAATAACGCAAAACTATATAGCACCACTATTAGGCCACTTTTCAAACAATCATAAATTTACAAAATAAAAACTATAAGCAATATAATTATATGATTAATGTGTATATTCAGTGAAAACGCCGAAAAAACGATTTAAAATGTAAGTTTCACTTAAAAAAGAGAGAAAATAACATATATGTATATAGCGCCACCATGCTGGCCGAAAGAGGAACACACCCATTTGACCTTTGCCACTATTTGGCCACCCCCTCTAACGGCCATAATACTTTGATACTTTCATTGTCTGTGATGTACGTCGACTTGGTGGTTGCTAACGAGTCTGTACTCCGTAAATAACAGGTATATCTTGATAGAATATTTGTATTTGGCCTTTATCCAAGGTCCATGATCCCCTAGGGATTACTCGAATGCAAGTAATTTCAAAAATTCCACTTACCTCAGGTGATAAAGATAGATATTTTTGTTAGAAAAGCAAATGTGCAGCCTTCTGTTTACTTCTTGAAATTGAAGCGGAAGTGTAGCTGTACCGATCGGTCACATCTGTTTTGTGATTGGTGGGGGGGTTAGGCCTAAACATAAATATTCATGAATACTTGGCCGAATACTGGGTGTGGCCAGTTATAGGCACGCGCACTAGTAGTTTTTTGTGTTATTTTTTGTTTTGTTTTTTATATACAAGTTTTATTTACCATGTCATGCATACCATGCTGAATTCACATGCCTAGGCCTAGGCAGCATATGTTTTGACTATGAGAAAAACATTGAGGTAAAAAAATTAAGAATTAAAATTTTGGTGCAAAAGTGCATTTGCCATTAGCGTCGCCTAACCATGGAGGTATAATTATACCTCCATGGCCTAACCTAGCCTAAGCCTGGTGAAGGTGTCGTGAGTGAGTGCTGGACTGGCCCAGGCCCTACTATGCTAGTACTACTACTACTACTCCTAGGGGTTACGCCCTAGCCTACACTAGCCTAGCTAGGTATGTAGGGCCTGCTGGCAGTGGTAGGTAGGGCCTACTAGCTAGGCTAGGCCTAGGCCTAGACCTAACTAAAAATTTAAGGCCCTAGGTAGGCCTAGGCCTAGCTAAGCCTATAATTAGCAAAAGAGACAGTGTCAAATAACAGTCAAGAGTTTTAATATATTCAAGTAATAGCAATAACAGGGTGACATCCATTATTTATACGATTGTATTACATACCAATTATGTGTAAATCAGTATAAAATCTGTTATTTACCTCTTTTTGCAACCAACATCAGATCCGACCGATCATCCTAAAAACATAGCAACACAAAGCTGCGCAGGCGTAAAGAAGACTGGAGGAGGAGCATCGTTCTTCGGCGGTCGTCTGTCATCTATCTTTCTCTCCTGTCTTGCTGCGTTATAATTTTGTGAAATGCGTTCCAGTACACAGCCAACCAGCCAACCGGTGATCAAGACTTGCCAATTCGCGATTTTGAAGAAGCAATTTATTCGGAAAGTATACTTGTTTTGGCACACTTCACAATTGTGAAGGTGCGTCCAAAAAAAAAAAAAAAAAAACAATACATAGGCCTGGCTAGCTATAAAACTTCATACAATGCAACTGACATGAATAAGGCAAAAATAGAAATAACCTTGAATGAAAATAATAATGAATAAGAAAAAAAAAAAAAACACAAAAAAACGCACAAAAAGAAAAACAAATAAATAAAACAAATAAAAAACAAAGGAAAGTATATATAAAGAAAAATCAAATTTAATATGAAATAAATAAAATACTCAAGATGAATTCGACTTCAAATTTCTCTTTATTGCAATATCGTGTCACAAAAACGCACAAATTGAATTAACAAAAATACAATTTAAAATTCAAGTCATATACTTCAATAAATAGAATTCACATTAAAATTTAAAAATCACTAGCGTTCGTCCACGCAGTGAATTTCATCAGGAGTCCGTCTCTTGAAGTCCACTGTGTGGACGAACGACGCTAGAGCTAATTGAATGCCATTTAGTTTGTCTTTAAAGTGCTGAGATTTGTCATTTAATATCTCTGATAAGATAGTATAATACATACTCCAAGTATCGAAATGCACGCCATCGTGTTGGGATTTAATATTTCGACATTAATTATGTCATCATCAGGCATTCAAGATGATGGTATTAATGTCTAAATATTAAATCCCGACACGATGGCGTGCATTTCGATACTTGAAGTACTGTATTATACTATCTTATCTGAGATTAATCAGTGGACCTTTCAGTTTAATATCTCTTGTAAGAGTAAATAATCCGTTTGGAGGATCGGAATGATGGAATACCCGTCTATTTGTTGTGAATATTACGTACTAGGCTAATTATGAGCAATTGGAGCCAATTCAAATTATTCAAGTTTGAGCAACTATTGAATTGTAAAAATGTATTTTAAACTTTTAGAACAAGGCTGATTAAATATTAAATAAATTTAATTCTTAAATTAATGAGTAAGTACATTTGAATGTATCCTTATCCGGCAAAAAGTTTTAGTATACCGTTTAATTTATGACTGATGCATTTCAAAGAAAAATGATGAGAAAAATATTACACATTAATATGGATAGATAAAAGTAGTCAGAAACAAAAATAAACGAATTGGAGCTTTATAACTAAAAAGAAGACGGTTGGAATGATGGACACATATTACAATTAAAATGATAAACTCCGGCAAAAATGCAATTAAATAAGTAAATAGAAAAGTAAGACGACCATATAGGAAGACATACATGCATCGCAAAAGTTGATCCCAATAGCTACACGGCATTGCATTTGGGGTAAAATTTAAAAAAAATTTAAAAAAATAAAAAAAGAACATTAAACTAGGCCTATATCACAATTCAAATTGCACTACAAATATAAATATAAATTTGTTTTATCAAAGGAAATTAAGTAAAAAATATTTAAAATAATTGCATCCGTTATACATAGGCCTGTGCAATTGTAACTAATTGCACTTAAATCTACCATTTAATCTTTATAACCATTATCATTATCATCATTACTACCATCGTCATCATAACATTATAAAATTGTTACTATTTTATTATTATTATTATTAATATTATTATTATTATTATTATTATCATCATCATTTTTCACAATAAAACAAACAAAAAAAATAAAAATAAGGAAAACATCAAACATCAAAAAAGTACACACCAATAATGAGTCCTAAAATATTCAAAATTAACACATAAAGACTATGAGATGGATAAGTTTCATCTGACAAAATGACATTTAGTTTTTTTACGCACATTATGATGATGTGATTTTAGTGTTATTATTATTTTTTTTAATACATTTTTGCACCTGTGATTTCCTTTTGGACAAAGTAAAGAAATCTGAATCCCAATTTGGTGTACAGTAGGCCACACTTGTATACTACAGTACTTATGGTGCCGTAAAGTTTGTAGGTCTACAGTAGTAACAATATTGTGCATGCGCATTGTTTTCATTTATTGTAGTGTACATTGGAACGCATTTCATGTTGTTGACGGGTTGTATTCGCGTTGTTCACGCAGGTGCAGTGGGAACGCCCCATCTTTTGCCTAGCCGGAGAGTAGATGCATTTGCCGGGCCCGGCTTGGTGACGGACGAGGCAGAAGGAGAAGCAGGAGAAGCATAGGCCTAGGCTTAGGCCTAAGTAAGAATTTTTTAGATACAATACAAAATATCGATTGTATTTATAACAAGGATTAATACTTTGATATTGACCATTCCACTTTGATTATTCAAAAGTCACATAGCCTACACTGGACAAAAAGATATTGAAGTTAGGCCTAGCCTAAGAAAGTTAGGCGCTTTAAAAAAACAGATCGGCACGAGAGAGAATTTTGTTTAGCCTACCTCGCCTCGCGCACGAGGACCCGGACCTATGCACTAGTCAAAAGGGGCTAACCGTCATAATTTTATCTACTGTAGGCCTACCTGTACTACGTCCGTCTTCCCCTTCTCATTTTCGATGGCATACCCTGACACTGGAAAAGGTGATGGCACTTCTCTGCTGCTGAATTCACCATCCGATATTGGAGCGGAACAACAAGGTCAAGGACACAGAAGACCAGGGCAGATTAACCCGAACAGAATTAGAATTTCTGAGTCTGAAACTCAAGTATTAGCTGAATGTCGAACTGAAAGTTTCTACTACAGATCATTGCCATTTGCAACAATTTCTGCAATAAGTACCCACCAACTCATACGTTTAGGTTACCTAGCAAGTGGTCGATATGGCTCAATTCCAAAAGTTGCTTTTGCTGTGTTCTTTGGCTATCTTGCTGGTAAAATATCATATGTTGAAAAATGTAAGGAGAAGTTTCTAAAACTTGAAAATTCAGAAATTGGAGAAATGTTAAGGAAGGGCAAAGCCATTAACCCAGGCACCTTAAGTGGAATTCCAAGCTCAACGGTGTTGGATTCAAAAGTAAACGAAGATGTTGACAGTTATGAGATTAATGCAAGACCTAATCGTGATGATCCGCATGTTAATCTTGATATTGACACAAGTCAGTTACCCTCATTAGATGATAAGATGGATAGACCGGAGTCCCTCTATCAGTTTGACAAGGACTTAAATCTAAGTCAACAAGCAAAGCCCAAAGCAATGACAACATATGAACAGTTGCGAAAAAAGAATCGAGAACAGAATAGTCATGGCAAAATGCAAGATCAGTTAGATTCATCAAAGCAACCTAGATCCCAGAAACCAGCGTTATCTGAGAGAGGTGGATTGGTGGACCAGCCGTTTATTAACAGCAGAAAATTTGAGGACACTGGTTTCTCTAAGTCTGTCAAAAAAGGCAAGATTAATACCTATGGAGACTCCTGGGATGAGTGAGCTTCAATTTTAATCCACTGATTGATGTTTTGTGTTTTGATGATAGCTATAAACACACACTTCATAGCATTAGATTAGTACTGTATTGGTATACTGTACAGCAGCGTTTTCTTAAACTTTTTGACTGACAACCCAAACAGGCATCCAGGAAATTTGCTATGACCCACTTAACAGGACCGGACCAGATACTCAAAATGGGCCTTTTAAAATTGGTAAACAAAACTGAAGGAAAATGTATGATGCTTGGAATCGCTCTGATTACTACAGCAATTTTTAGCATGATACATTTTTGTTTCTTAATCCTAGTCTTGTGACCCAAATTGTGGCGACCAAATTTATGGTTGCAACCCATAAATTGAGAACAGCTGCATGTACAGTAATTTTATTATTTGAATTCATTAGACATGGGTAATAGATAAAGTACTTATAAGACCATGATTTTTTACCAACACTTAAAATCAGTGTGATTATTATTTGATAGTCTTCTAACCGTAATTCATTGTGATTCACATAGAAATAATCTTGTGAGCCTGTTCATTGAAATTAAACGTTCATAATCAATATAAAAAAACTGACAAAAAATATGGTGCTTTTAAATTGTAATTTTGGTGGAAGTAATAAGCTAAAAATGATTAATAAATATAGACATACTGTCTACCATACTGAACTCTATTTGTCTTGTAAAATCAAATGTGCATTGATTTAAGTACTGTACTGTAATTGTCCACAGTCTCTCCAATAATCACTACCTATACATCTCTAGCATTATGAATTAAAAAAAAAGGTTTATTCTTAAGTAAAATACAAGTCTAATGCAACAACAGTGTCAAGTGTCTTCCAAATTGACAACACAATGTACCTTAGTTCGTCAGCATACGTGTGGCAGTGAAATGGTTATTACTAAATAATTGTTAACTTAAAGATACACCCTTATTAAGTCATGGCGTATTGAATGGGGGTCGGCAGATGGGGGCTGAAAGTTTGAGGGCACTAGGTGGAAAATTAGTCATATGAGGTGGTTTTAACCACAGCATAAATTGTTTGCTTAGAAAATGTCTAGTGGGTGGGTCTGTGCAAGCTTTTATTGGAGGTGAGTTATATTACTGCATCATTCTAAAAACAATGATAAAGATAGAAATAATGACGAGATTAGCAGTGCTAACCCGTACATCAAGAATGATGTTGATGGCAGGGGAAGGGGAGGATTTAGGGTGGGGGAGGGAGCTGACCCCACACAACCCCCCACCCTTTTTGGAAAGTAAAAAAAAGAAATTATTGATCAACCAAAATGTCTCACAGGTTATTTCCAGACGACCTATAAAACAAAAAATACTAATACAGTAGGGTAGTGTGGTCTCTCAATCAATCCCCACTTTTGGACATCTCTGGATCCACACCTGGATGGAGAGGATAAAGGTAGTGTGGTGTCATACAGATGAACATTTTTAGCAAGGAACACCAGCATCACTACTTGTTTGTTCCACTAGCTGCTGTCATGTTGAAGACTGTCATTGACCATGAGAATGGTTGACATAGTATACACCCATTGAGAGAGATTTGATTTTTTTTTTTATATGTTGAAGAGTTTAAAACTACACTTTCGCTAATGACCAATGTGCAAACACTGTAGGTTAAAGATTGAAGCAATCAGACAAAAAACTTTAAATTCTATAAAACGGAGATTTTGAAGCATAGACTTTATTAAAAACTGTATTTTTGAAGCACTTACTCCACTCTTCAGCGTTACATCACCGACGTTTAAAAATGTATATTTTTATTCACTAATACTCATAATTTAAGATTAAAACCACTTTACTAGTTAAGATTAAAACTACCAGTTCAAGCTTTAAACATAATTTCATTTTGTACATGTACTGGTATAGGCATTTATAATGCACCTCATCCTTGAGGTTATAAAGTGCACTTCTTTTCTCCGGTCATTGGATCCACATGCTGTAAGTGTTACTGCTGGTAATCAGCGCAAGAGCAGAACACCCCACCCGGTACCCATTTATACTCTTGGGTGGAGGGAAGCAATGCAGATAAATGCCTTGCTCAAGGACACAAGCAAAATGCACAGACCTCGAGATTGAAACCAAGACCTATAGGTTAGGAAATCAAAACATTCCCACTGCGCCAATCTCGCCCTATCACATTTATGACCATATATCCAGGGATGACAAACAGAAGTATGATTTTTATGAGATTTTGAACAGTAGGCGTATTCGTATGTCATATTTGATTGGTCGCACGAGCAGCACAAACTCCTCACAAGAGCAGCTCGAACTCCTCGCTGTTTTTTAAAGAGCACACCCCGAGCTCCTCGGAAAAGGACCAGTCGAATACGCCTAATGGTATAACTAGGGATGTGTGGGAGAGGACACCTCCAAAAAATATTTGCCCTGCCCCCCCACCCCACCTTGCAAATGTTTGAAGCAAAAACTGTGCTCAAGTATTTAAAAATCACCTCAAATCTTCTTATTTTGCGGGCTAGTGCCTTCTCATCTGATCATCGACCCCACATTTGACCTTTGCATCTCCCCATTTCAGAACTCCTAGATAAGCCACTGATTTTGAGCATGCATCATTTATTCATTCATACCAATTATATTTCTCTTAAATAGCAGCTATACAGTACCTATTAATCCACACCATAATATGGAATGTTTATTTTTAAGGCTATGTTCACACACGGCAGCTAACGGTTAGCAAGATCCAGATAAATAACATATGTGCTCACCTTTGCGTTCATACAAGAAAATCCCTGATCCAGATATCAAGATGATGATGGTGGGATCACTGGCCAATAGAAAAGTGGAAATTGGAAATATGTATGTGTGATTGGCTAATGATAAAAACACGCTCAAAGTGCTAACCAATTGCGCTCACTAACCGTTAGCGTATGCAGATCCTGGTAACGGTTAGCGCTAAACCGATCGGGCTTTCTCACACGGGTGATACTGGTTAGCTCCCAATCTGGAAACTTAGGGCTCCAGTGTGAACCTAACCTAAATGTATTGTTGTGTGCAGTGTACTGTACTGGTACTGCCCTTTCAACCGTGATACTGGATCACATATGGTGGCTATTGATTGTATACAATTAGACACTACATGTCAATGCTAAAAAAAAAAAATTCTGCAACCATTTTTGTTTACTGTAGCATGAAATGAACTACATTGTATCTAAATTAAAGAGAATCCATTTTTAAATTATAGCTATATAACATCTACAGTACTCTGGTAAGATACAAAAAACAACAGCTAAGAAAAACAATTTTTAAATCTATAGTGGTAGAGAACAGAACTGTGTCGAGGATCAATCTGGCAAGCATATATGACACCCTCTCTTTTTCAGGTGATGACTGGTTAAGTTCACTGGTTGCCGTTACTGAAAGAAAAAGAAGCACTAATCTTTGAACAAATTCATTTGAAAAGATATCAAAACAATTGATTTGGATTTATTTTATTTTTTAAACTTTCTTTATATTGTAGGCACTTTTAGTTCTATAGTACTGATTTTCAATGTGGTACAGTGACGAAAAACATATATTATATTGTAAATAAACAATGAATAATAAAAAATAAAATTTAAAACATTATTTTAAATGATTTTGGAATGAAAAAGTTGACACCTCTTCGAAATTAATTTTTAATTTGTGTGGTAGTCCATTCCAGCTTTTGGATAATCGATATAAAAATGTTCTATTTCCCTGCTAGACATTATACATTGGAAGAACCAAGTTGTTATGGGTTTGGCTACGTGTGCCTTTAGAATGGGTAGTATTGTTGAAGGTAAATTTTGAAGACAAATATTGAGGAGCATCCTTTTAAGCATTTGAAAGTCATAAGAAGTAATTTTTCATTCCAAATCACATTTTGTCTTTTCCATCCAAGGGCACTTAAAACATAATCAACAGGAGTCTTAAAATAAATAGTTATATATTGTAATCTATCTGATAGACAATTGTTAATTGAATCGCAATGCTAGTGACATACAAAAAACCTTGCATAGTCTACCAGGAACAAATATTAATAGACATACCATAAAAACTTGAATTAAACCCTGGGTTTTTTTTTTTGTTTTTTTTGCGAACTTTAGGTGGCCTCTTCTTTACAAGATGGGCTTCTTTTCGATGGGCTACTCTTGCAAACTAAAGAGGAGGACTTCTATTCAAAATGAATGCTTTAATTTTTGGGAATTACTACTACACAACAAAAAATAGGGCCACTGTAACATCAATCTGTATCAACTGACATTAAATCACCTAAACTACTGAATAAACCAAGTGTGTTTTAAATAAATTTTATTTCTTTGAAATTTATGTACAGTGTATGTACTGTACTATCTAAAAAAAAAAAGCCCATGCTATCTTGAACAAAAGCCCATGGGCCTTTTTTTCGAGGCTACTTTTGCAAACTAAAGGGGGCTTTAATTCAAGATGGACTTCTTCTCAACATTAAGCTCATTGGGCTTTTATTTAAGGTTTTACGGTACTCTTTACTGGTCTTATAAAAGCAAATGTACATTGAACTAAGCAATTGTCCACAGTCTCTCCAAAAATCACTACCTATACATCTCCAGCATTATAAATTAAAAATAACGGTTTCTTCTTAAGTAAGACAGGTCTCAGCGCCAGTGCCAAAAAGTGTCCTCCAAATTGACAACGAGGCACCTTAGTTTGTCAGCATACTGTACATATGGCTGTGAGAGTTATTAAAGAAATTATTGAAATAATAAATAATTTAAAAACTTGTGTTAACCACAGATACTGTACACCTAATTTAAGTCATGGCATATCTTGGAGTATTGAAATGAGTGTGGGCTGATGGGAGCTGAAAGTTTAAGTGAGAGGGTGTTGGGTGGCAAAATAAAGTGGTGATAAGGTGCTTTGTTAACTTCATTCATTTTTTCCTTAGAAAATTTCTAGTGGGGGTGATAGAGAGTTTTTAAATAAATTACAGAACATCTAGGCCTACTAATATAGCTATTTTTGTCACTCGGTAAGTATTCATACAGCAAAATCCATAAAAGTTAGATAGCCTATTTTAATATGGTAGGACTAAACACTAGTAGAAATATAATGTGTAGTACACATACCATTGTTGCTAATACCGTATAGCTATTCAGGAAAAGGGATAGCTCCCGGCTGACCTGGTATTGGGAGCTCGTTATCATCAAATTCTGCTGGAATTCTAAATCCAAATTCTTCATTTTCCTCTCCGAATTCTGGCCTTCTCTCCAAAACTTAAACAAGAAAATTGTTTCCATAAATACAGAAGAATACCGATTACTATATTACCAAACTGCATTTGAAACTGTCAGGAAAATTACACAATAAATAAATGAAAGGGGGTTTTTGATGGTTTTTATTATTCCCTTTATGGCCCTATCGGGGAAGGGGATTGGAGGGAGGTTTACACAAGAGATGTGGATCAGGTACAGTATTGTCTTGTGAAATTTCTATAGTTGTGTTTTTGGGTAGTATCAACCAGAATTAAGCTTATTACTTAAGATGTTGTGACAGAAGTACTGCACAGATTGTCAACAAACCTGATTGAGGTGGATCATCCTGGAGTTTTGCCAAAGAAACATGTAGCTTTCTAACAATAAACACTTGTGTTCTATTTTGTAACAGTGATCGTATAAAAAGTGGCAGTGCTGATGATCCACGTCTTTTAATGTAGCCCAGAAAACATCGACACTTCTGCCTTGTAGTAGTTTGTGACATGATGTCTTCAACAGATTCTTGGTCTAATATACGCTCTGAACGTAAAAAATCCACATGGTCTGTTGGATTGATATTATCACAAAGAAAGGCAAAGTTGTTTTCAATTACCTGTGAAAGAAATAGACAACTTTGGATTAAGAAATAATACACTGTGTTAATATGTATAGTACTACATAAAAAGACTTGTCAGGGTCATTAAATTTTATGGAATTCACATCATCTTCACTACTGTCAAAAAAGTTTGGATCCCTCACCCACCAAGTGTTCTCCTAGGAATTTGCTGAGCAAAATAAAGTTCAGCTTAAATAAAATTCACCTCATATCACCCTTTTGTTTTTGCCAGATAGTCCCCTTCCCACCAGATGAGGGAGACTTATTTCCAGTGGGGTCCATCTCACGGTGATTGAACAGTACACCAAGACAATCCACTATTTTTATGTACTGCGTTCTCACATTGTCCAAATTACACTATTTCATGCAAAAAATGTGTCCACTTTTTGGAAAATACCTGTATTTTTTAGTAAGACTGGGTCAACTTTTAAGAAAATTGGTCCACATTATTTGAATTTATGTGTAAAGTGGGCCCAACCTGATATTGTCTCGCACTGTTTGAAAATCTTGGCTACGGCATTGCATTTAATCACCGTTTGTTGGTTTTAGTAAGTTTTGGTATCCAAAAATGGGATATAAAAAAGGGATATATACACAAATTGAATAATTTACAAAACCACCTACAAAACTGCAATCATTGTATCATCATTTATTTACGATTCAGGTAAGGCAAGACTATTTTAATACCTTGTTTCGCAAACTTTTTTTTTTTTAAAGATCGTCAGAGGAGGGCAGAAAAATATAAAAATAAAATTTGGTTTTCTTATTTAGCAAATAGTTTTGCCAAAAACATCCAGACAGAGGAGAAAATAAAAATAAAATTTTATTGGATGGTTAAATGCTTTAAATATCTTATTTTTGGAGATTTCAAGAAAGCAGCAGGCATAATCCAAATAAAAAAAAACTTATTTTTTCTGAAATTTCCATTTTTTTAGTGGTAGCGGGTATGCTAATTGATCAAAAATAAAATTTAATTTTATTCGTATTCGCCATTATTGATGGGCGATGGGCTTGCCTAAAAAGTTCATAAAAATTTAGTAATTAAAGTTTTTTTAAACTACTGTTTGTTATTAAAAATTTAGTATTAATGATTATTTATTGTTTGGTTATTGTTAATTTCTGTTAATTATGCCTATTGTTATATCTAAGTGGCAATTTTATAAATAGAATAGATTAGATTTAAGGGCAAATAGAAAAAAATATTCGATCATCTCCTTTTATTTTTTTCTTTTTGGAAAAATCTGGATATGGAGTAGCCCTATTTAAATAAAATAAATGTAAATTTAAAGATAAACTTACAGTAACATGTATTTACAACAAACATGCACATTTGCATGTTTGGGTAAAGTATATATTACATTTAAAACGACAAAATGCTTATATAACATCTGCGTCATATTTTGATGGACTGTCCGCAAACCATGAAAAATTTTGATGAGGTAAAAGCCAGGCACTCTCCGTTGAAGGCAACTCCGCTCCCTGTGTACGCTTGATGGTGTGACGGATTGCAATTAAAAATGATCTGTTGCGTGCACATAGTGATATTGCGTTCTCCATAGAATAGAATCAGCTGCTGACCATCAGGCACAGTTAGTGCCCGGATTTTTAAAAAAAATTGTTATTACCGTGTCAAAATTTCCTAAATTTTTTATTAGGGAGGGAAGTGATCCATAACATTTTTTTTCTAGCGGCCCTAATAATGGCTCTCGTAAATGTTTCTCATTTAATTGTTTTTTGGGGGTTTTTTTTGTTTTATTTTTTTGTGGTGAGTGGGGGGGTTGTTAGCTGCTGCAGGAAGAAGGATTAAATCTAGGCCTATATAGATGACCGGCTAAATGAAGTTAATATTATTAAGGCCTACCTCACAATGCAGGAAATGCTCATACTCGTCCTCGGTAGTAAATCGCGCCATGATGCCTGACAATGGTTGTCAGATAGGCTTAGCTAGGATTACTCTTTGTATAGATGGACTAAGCCTAGCACCAGTACTGTATGTAGTACTAAAAACCAGGCTTTAGAAGATAGGTAGGCCCAGCCTATCCCCCAGTCTAATGAAGCGTGGACAGGCGGCCTCTGTATGCTGGTTTTATCCACAAGAAGCATAAAAAGAGATGTATGTAGTGTTTAACACGTCAATCGACACAGACTAATTCATATTAAGATAATTGATTGTATTCCTAGGCTAATTTAAAGTCGAAGATTATACTGACGAGGAAGTACTTAACAGAAAAATAACCGAGTCGTGATCCACGATGCAAATCAGAAGAATGCTAGAAACTAGAAGAATTATAGTAAACAATTGAGCCTGTGGCGCCATCACGTGTCGTGAGGGAAATCCCCTAAGTAAACGCCTTCCTTGATATTCTTTGGTTACACTATCAATTAACACTGTATTCTGATTCACCAAGATCTATCGGAATAGGAAGGAACTTCTGAAATCATAATGTGCTACTGTATTGTTGATCTATTGTAAATGTCCGATTTAAACAAAATATATTTGTAAATAGACATACGTTGAATAATGAAAACAAATCAAACAATTGTTCGCTATTTCGTATAATTTTATCATGGATCCAGGATTTCGAAATAGCGGGGGATCATTGATTGACTTCCACAGATGGAGAGTCACACTTAAAATTTAGTTGGCCGGAAATGGCACTATGAGATTAAATTTAAATATAATTTTCCAGCAACCCCCACCCCACCCCTCCTTTGAATCTGTCACTGAAATATTCAACATAAACAGTGCTTACATTTATTCTAGTATTAATTATAACTAATATTCGAACCATAAAACAAATAAAATAAACTTAAAACAGTCCAATCTAGTCTCTTAATATGTACAGTACTTTTCAAGTCAATCAAGGTTTTTCTTTTTTCCCCTTTTGAATTGCCTATTCCAGTATTGCGACTACATTATTGTGAGTGGAAATAATACCGTCTAATTTACGATCAAACAGGACTTTATTTTTTATTTATTTATTTATTTGTGACACTTTACCTTCGTGTCGGTGGCAGTCAGTGGTGCGGTAATAAAATACACAAAAGAACCTAAACATTAACAATCAATACTTAACTAAAAAAGCACCAAAAACTCCAATGGAACAGTTTTAACAAATTAAGCAAAAGGAAATCAAAAGGAAAAGAAATATACCGTACTGCATGCATATGAATATATCTAAAGTATACTCATGTACACGCCCCAAATATACATTGAGGCAAAGCATTGTGTAATACAATGTTCCCGACGGGTATTTGGACCTGTTCAACCATGAAGCCTTCGTGGTCTAGTGGTTATGACGCTCGCCTTGTCAGCGAGAGGTCACAGGTTCGAATCCCGTCGGAGGAATTTTATTATACGATGATTTTTCATAGGACTTTATTCGTTGAAAGGCTACATGGTAGCTTACGATGTTCTATCATGTCCTTATTAAACAATGTATATGTACCTTTGATGATTTATATTATATATAAACATGTGTATATAAATACATACATATATACATATACGGTATATTGTATATATATGTGTGTGTATATATATATATGCTTATATATAATATAAATCATATATATTCATATGCATGCAGTATATTTCTTTTCCTTTTGCTTATTTTGCTAAAACTGTTCCATTGGAGATTTTGGTGCTTTTTTAGTTAAGTATTGATTGTTAATGTTTAGGTTCTTTTCTCCTTTTTCTTTTGTGTATTTGTAAGTCCGCACCACTGACTGCCACCGATACGAAGGTGAAGTGTCACAAATAAATAAAATAAACTATTAAAGGCATTGATTGCTCTGGCAACAATA